GCTTGGCTAGCCAATGTGAAGAAGTTCTTGGCTGCTAGAGGAACTCCAGATGCAGAGGCTTTAGTGGCTATTCTGATGGTTTTGTGTGATGCGGGTCTTCGATGGTGGAATTGGCTTGAGGAGTCCTGTGTTGCGGATAAGAAACCACCAGTGTCTACCATGGATGAGTTTGAGGCTGCTTTCCATTTACGTTTTGCCCCTCATTACGATGTGGAGAATGCTCGTACAGAACTTTGACATTTCTAGCAAGGGAAAATGACACTCGGGGATTATATTGAGAAGCTTACTCGCTTGATTAGTCGTGTTCCAACGAAGGATCCAGATCAGAACAAGTCCTACTTCATTGATGGCCTACATAGTGAGAGCATGCGGCAACACTTGCGTCATTCTCAGCCTATAAAGAGTTTGGAGGAGCTCTTTGATGCGGCTCATCAACTTGACAATGACAAGCACAAGTCTCGCAAGCGTTCGCGGGGTCCTTCTGTCGAGAATCGTCGTGATGATCGCTGTGGACACAAGGATGGGAACAAGCATCACAGGTTGAAGTCGGTGGTGACTACTTCAGATGCAAAGGGGTCCAAGAAGCAGAAGTTCTTTGTGAAGAATTATAGACAAGGTTGTCATCATTGCGGCGAACTTGGACACTACAAGGCTGATTTTTCGCAGTTGAAGAACAAGCAGCAGGACAAGAAGAATGGCCAATCATCTTCTCACGGTAAGTCAGCTACTAAAAAGTTGCAAGCTTTACAGCGTGAGGATGACGAGAACAACCATTCCGGTCAGAGGAAGAGACTTTCAATCGTTGCTCGTCAACTCAATTGTGTTTGGAACAAGATGGAGCTTGAGGATACGCGTGAATCAGCTTTAATGCTGGAGGGCGTGTTCCGTGGCGATCCAGTGCAGATTTTACTGGATAGTGGGAGCGATGACAACTTTGTTTCGGCAAAGTTTGTTGCGGAGCATCGCCTGAACACACGTGGAGTTCTTCCATACACAGTGGAAGCTGCAGCTACCTCTGCTCAGCATTTCGATGCTTGTGTCGAGGGGCTGGAAGTGTTGGTTGGCAAAACCACACTTGTGGAGACTTTTTATCTCGCGGATATCCATCGTGTGGATCTCATTCTTGGAATGCCATGGTTGGTGAAGGTGGATCCAAAGATAAAGTGGAGCATTAAGCGTATCTTGCTGGAGTATGGTGGCGTTAAAGATGTGTGGTTTGGCGAGGGCGTTCAACCACCAGTTGTTATGCTCTCTGCTACATCTTTGAAGCGGGCTTGTCGTAATGGAAAAGCACTTTCAAGCTACTTGCTGTTTGTTCGTGACTTGGGGGACCAAGGCACGTGTGGGGGAGAAGCAGCAGTACGGGATGTACTTGATGAGTTTTCACCCTCTAGATTCACTATGTTGAATATTCCTTCAGAATATTCCTGCCCCACTCGTCAGCCACGAGAATCAAACTGGGCTCTGATACCATTGTTAGGATCCTATCCCTTACACCCTAAGCCAACTGGCTAAAAGGGTGATCACTTGATTGCAGGGCCCTTTCCTTATCCTATTATCTTGACCTGGTGCCTAACAAAAGCCGAGCCCTTCGCCACACCCTCTTTATTTGATGGCAGGGCTTATAGGGTACGGGCTCCCATATCCAGCTTTTCGGAGTGTTTCTTGATAGAGCAAGGGCTTCTTGACTCGTTTCTTGCATGGGATCAACTCTCTCTTATGGAGCTAGATGACAGTCACTCCAGACCAGGCCCATATTTCACAAGACACAGCTGAACTCAATTCTCCTCACCAACTATCTGAGGTGTCACACAGCCAGCATCTTCCTACTAAAATCGTGGTAGTTGACAACCCCAAGCGTATTTTGTCATGCTGTTTCTTGGAGACAGAAGATGACATCTAGACACAAAATTGGCAGGAAGAATCAAGCCAATGGGACGTGCTGCATGCGAGTTATAGCTCTTTGAGTTCAGAATTTCCTACCATGGTGCCCCTGGTACAGATCCAAGGGTATTACACTAAATCTTTAGGACCAGACTTGAACTGGACTTCGGTGGAGGACCTTCCTTCACTTATGGAGTACCTGGCTATAGTCTTTGCATTGGACATTGAGCACTCAGAGCATCAGAAGAAAAGAGAACAACAAACAAAGACTCCGGATCCAACAACAACGTTCTTGCTTGACTTGCCAGAGATTGTCTTGCTGGATGTGGTGTCCCCAACATCTTTATTTGAAGAAGAGGGCACTCCTATGATTACAGCTTATTTTGATGGTGCTTTCTGCCCCAAAAACCAGGTTGCTGGCATTGGAGTTTGGATGATTGATTCTGCGGAGAACAAAATAGCTGACTTCTCTGAGCCCGTATCCATTTCCACATCTATTTTAATGTGCTAACCTTTCTTTTACAGTGACCGATTCACAGTCCTCATACTTTATCTTGGATTGTGACCATCCAAGAGTTCCAGCCAACATTTCACATGCGGCGGAAGTGTGTGATGGATCCAAGCGAGTTCCTGGTTGTTGAAGCTACTTCCTTTGTGGTCCCAGCAGCATTACAGGACATTGCAGTGTACCTAGATTCAGATCAGTTCTCAACCGATTCCTCACTAGTACAACAAAAGGCATTGGAGATCCGAGCACGGGGGTTTTGCCTTCTCGACGGACACCTTTACAGGAGGACTTCTTAGGAAGTTTTGTTGCGGTATGTGGGGAACACGAGGTCTCTGAGCTCCTTCGTGCTTTTCACTCTTGTTGTTGCAAATGTGACTTCGGGTATCAAAAACTAGTTTTCAATTAATCCTTACGAACACTCTTTCCTTACTGCTATGATGGCAGGAGGTTGGTATTGCTGGACTCTTTATCAGCCCCTCTTGTTCAAGTGTTAATAAACTAGACTTTGCATCTATACTTGGCCAGATGAGCATAAGGACGGAATTCCTAAGTGTCTATTCAGCCAAACATACTTGGCCTGGCTTTTTAGTTCTCTTTTGCTTCGTCTTGCACTGGCTTGACAATAACCCTCGCGTATTGAGACTAGTCCCTTAATATTGATACATGATAGCTTACCATGTCTACCATAGTCTCATTTCAGTCCTAAATGCTATTTATGGAAAGTGTCTAGATTCTCTCATTTGGCATATCTACGGAATGTAGAGATTGGCCTGAACACAATGGTGTTCGTCCCGTGTCCAAATTCGCAATTTAGCACCATTCCATATTTAGTAAGTTTCGAGCTTGTTCCAAAGACTAACTCTTGATACTAAAGGAGGCTTAGGGTAAAAGCCCAAAGCGTGTGTTCCTCACGGGGGGGGGGGAGGGGGTGGGGGGATGTGGGGGGGGGGATGTGGGGGGTTCCAAATGTATAGTAGGGATAGTGGGTAGGTCGGGCATGGCTGACCAACCTGAGGCATAGTATAGTTCTCACTTATGTGTTTGTCCTTGTTTTGTGTCCGGCTTGGGTCTAAGCCCAAGTTCCATTCCATGCTAACTGGTGGAGTACCCATGTCCTTGCGTTAGGCCACCAGTATGCCGAAATAGTGCCAAACTTCATTTGGCTCTGTTTTGCGTGTTGGTCCTAGCAATGGGATGTAGGTTGCTCTAGAACTGTTCCAAGTCCCTCTAGGCTCTTGTCCCTTCGTGGTTCGGTTCCGTCACTCCTTGGCTCCATGTTTGGGACTTTGGCACCTTTCCTTCGTTCAGTGGCCAAGGCCTTGAACCTCAGGTTCCACACCACTATCCTTTGGACATGTGGCATGTGTCACGTGGCACAAAGAGGGTTTAGGTTCCACTTCGTGGTGTTATCCTATGGTAAATCACCATAGGATAAAGGGTAAAAACCACGTGCACTACACTTGTGCAGGGCATTTCTTGAGATGAGTCACAACACAGCTCCTCTTGCGCCATGGCTACTTTTGGCCTCAGATTCAGCAGGATAGCTTGGCCTATGCAAAGGCGTGTGAACAGTGCCAACAGTTCAACCCCTGGAGCCATGTTCCACATCTTCCTTTCTAGCTCATTACTTCTCCAAGTCCCTTTTTCTAGTAGGGACTTGACTTCATCGGCCCGATTCACCCACCAAGCTCAAAAGGACAACATTACATCATCGTGGCAACAGACTATTTCACAAAATGGGTTGAGGCCACCCCTTTGCGACAGGAAGATCAACAATCTACAGCAAAGTTTGTCTACGAGTATATCATTTGCCGATTTGGAGTTCCTGCTGTTTTGGTTTCCGATCGTGGCAGTGGCTTACTTGGACAGGTGATGCAACATCTTCTCCAGCAGCTGCAGGTCAAGCATGTGAAAAGCAGCAGCTATTATCCTGAGCGCAATGATCAGGCAGAGTCCAGCAACAAGATATTGAAGATAGTCATCTCAAAGCTTGTGGAGGGTCACCCAAGGTGTTGGCACGAGCACTTGGTTACAGCATTGTGGGCCTTTCGGACGTCCTTCAAGACATCCATCTCTACGACCCCATTCTCCCTTGTCTATGGGACAGAGGCCGTACTTCCCGTGGAGATCCAAGTGCCATCACTCTCACTTTCACTTTGATACGCAGCAGCAATGTAGCTTAGCGATGAGGACAAGCTTCATGCACATGACTTGGAGGTTCTTGCCTTGGAAGAACAGCGATGATCCACATCAGAACATCTCCTTCGAGGCAAGCAGAAGATTAAGTCAGTCATTGATCACCAGCGGTCTGCTGAACCATTCGAGGATCACGATCTTGTTCTACTCAAGGAGTTTATGCCACTTTCAAAGTTCTCCCCTCGCTAGACCGGCCCCTACTTTGTCCAATGACACGTCGGAGGTGGACCATATGTGCTAGTTGATGCTGATGGACGTGAGCTCCCACACACTCACAACCACTCTCATCTCAAACGCTTCATCCGGTGAGGCGTTCCTCTTCTCTTCTTTTTCTTTTTCTTTTTCTTCCTTTCTTTCACTTTACTTTCATGGCTACTTTTCTTACTTTCAGAGGGTGTTTCTCCATTGGACCATGGCCCATGCCTTGGATTTTGTGCTCAGGCTGCATTGCCGTTTGTATGGAAGTTCCTCGTTTGGCTCGGTCTATGTTCCAGGTTCTTTGGTCCTTCCCTTACCATTATTACACCTCACACATTACCCTCACTCATTCTATATCATCTACACTCACAGTTCCATCACCAATCACTTCCAGCAGCGTTGCTCGCACTTATCTCTAGATGGTCGTCTTGCATCTTTCATTCTTTCACCATCATTCACATCTCCGTTTGAGGTCACATTTACACCATACCACGGACACACATATGTGCACCAGCAGCAAATGACACCATCTCATTTGGATGTGCCATTTCCGAGATATCCTTACGACCATTTGCCGACAACGCACTAGCTTTTCTAGAGCGACTTTCTTCCAACTAGGTGAACCTGTTCACTCAAGGCACCTAGGTGGATCTTTAGGCAAGGCCACAGAAGTCAAAACCACTTTCTTCTACTCCAGCACTCAGTGGACATATGCCACCTCCATTTACCGACTATGACATCCTTTTCAATTGCTAACTTCTTCAGTTCAATACATCAGACTGGCCACCTTCTTAGAGTGCCACCCCATCTCAACGCTCCACCATATCACTCCACCATATCGGTGCTGGAGCTGGCGCAGGAGTAGGAGCGAGAGCAGGTGGTTACCAGTTACAGATTACAGGTCCCCAGTTACTAGTTACTAGTTACTGGTTACCGGTTACCAACTACTCCAAGTGGTCAGCACTTACTCTACGGGCCAATGGTTATCAATGGCCACCTTTTCAAAGTGCCACTACCATCTTGGAGCTCCACCATATCACTCCATCTTTTATCATTTCCAAACTTACCACTTTTGGGCAATGCATCCCCTCTTTTACCTTTCTTTCTTTCTCGATTTTGGCCAATCCTTGGAGCATATTGGATCTCATCAAGAGGCTGCATTTGCATATTACACTTTCCTGAGCCGAAATCCAGGTATGGGTTAAGTTCTTTGGGTGCTCACTCTTTTTCCTCTATTTTCTTCCTCAGAAGAACCGGTCCTCAGAATATTCCTTCTCTCTCTCTCACTCTCTCGATGGTCACGCCCTAACATGCAACCACGATGGATCGCACAGGCTCCAGACGCATGAAAACAACGAGTGTAGAGTGTACATCCAGCTACTGACGCCAAGTGCTAGCAGCTGAGTGAAATAGTAGAAACTCTAGAAAACAAAGTGGAAAAGAAAGAAAAGAGGTAGGTGGGAAGTTTGGAGACAGGGAGGAAAACCCGGTGGGAAACCCTATAGTCAAATTGGACCCTAAAGTTGAAAAAAAGTGTAGAAAAAGTGTGAAAAGAGGAAGAAAATAGAGAAAAGAGGAAGAAAATAGAGGAAAAAGAGTGAGCACCTAAAGAACTTAACCCATACCTGGATTTCGGCTCAGAAAAGTGTAATATGCAAGTGTAATTTCGGCTCAAAAAAGCTAGCACTTATATTAGTGGAAGTGACATTGTTATTTCAAGTGATTACGAAGACCATAGCTTCAGATATCTACATTGCAGTAACACTTTTCTTAATTCACTTTCAAGATCCAATGTAAAGCCAAAACACTAATTAAAAAAATGACTTGCACTCCGAAATGCATTTTGTTGGGGGAAGGAGGGGCATTTTGCGAAGAGCATTGAAGCATTTCTTGTGTTTAAGCGAACGTTGGGGGAGCATACTATGGGTCTTGAGAATTTATGTTGAGATGAATATATGTGAAGTTGTTAGTAGGAGGAAGTTAGTTGAGTCTTGAAAGTTTGTATTCCTAGATTGAGAGTCATTCTTTTTCTAAGATGAAAAAAAAATCTTCAATTTTTCTTAAACTTTTTCAATGGCTGATCTATTGATCACTTTGCTTGAAAACCATTCCATTTAATAAGCTAGTGTAAATTAATGAAGGGGTTGGAGTTAACTTCAGTTAGCTTAGACCTTAGTAAGTAGTTTATTTGATACAACCCAAAAGAGATGCTAACTTTTGGAGTTAAGACAATTGAGTTGGATAGAGTTTAGAGTTGGTTGGTATAGAAAAGTGGCCCTTGCACTTTTTCTAGAAAGGTGCCTTTCTTTTATAGCATTATGTTTGGTGGCAAATTGCAATTTGCATTTTGTTAAACTCTATGAGAGTAATGAGCTGTCACTGATCTTGACTTGGTCTTGGTTAACTTGGTTGCTAGAGAGCTTTGGGTGGTGATTCACTCTTGCTTTCTTTTAGCTTTATTTTGGTGTTGATGGCATTGAAGTGATGCCTTTGTAAGCCACAAATTTTTCCTTTCCAATTTGCCAGCTTACTTCGTCTATCCGTCCAACACTGCCTTGGCTTTTGCTAAGTTCCCTTGCCAAGGTTCTTGCCTATGGTACCAGCTCCTACTTGGTTTCAGCTACTCACTACACGAGCAACGGAGCGTTAGCCATCCATCCACGGATTCCCAAATCACTACCAATCCCCCTCCCCGGGTTAGACTGGACTTAAGGTTCGGCTACACTTCCCACAAGCACAAGCAGCCAAGCACACCAAGCTTCCAGGTTCCCTAACATCCTTTGGTATCACAAGACTTGATCATGGGACCCTCTAAATCCCAAGTCTTGAGTGCAACACTTGCTTCGGGACGCCGGGGCGAAACACCGTGGCCTAGCGGCCCGGTATGGGTACCTTTACCCCCCCACTTCCATCCCGAAGGAAGGCCCAAGCCTCTAGAAAGGGCGAGGACCAATGAGCCGCATGGTACTCAAGTGGGGCACCACTCCACATGAGCCGGGAGCACCATAATCGGTTTCCCTTTCGGGAGTGGGAGCTGCTCTTGAGCACTTCCTTGGATGGCCCTTCCGGCACCAACCAAGTCCATGCTCACTCCCACCCAAGGCCCCTCGGTCCCAGTCCCACCCTCAAGTTAGTTTGGGAGCCCCACTGGAGAGTCCCTTCAAAATTGGTTCCTGGACCTCACTATCCCTACTATACTTTTGGAACCCCCTGCAGCCCCCCCCCCCTGGGAGACGCACGCTTTGGGCTTTCACCCCTTGACCCGTATTAGTATTTGGACTTAGTCTCTGGCTCGATCTCGGACCCGATTTCGGATCCGACTTCGGATTCGGTCTCGGACTTGATCTCGGACTCGATCTCGAACCCAATCTCGGACCCGACCTCGGACTCGACCTCGGACTCGGTCTCGGACCCGATTTTGGATCTCGGACTCCGTCTCGAACTCGGTCTCGAACTCGGACTCGAACTCGGTCCCCGACTCGGTCTCGGACTCGATTCCGGACTCTATCTCGAACTCGGTCCTAGAGTCGGTCTTGGACTCGATCCTCGACTTGGTCCCATCCGATGAACTCTTTGTCATTTTGGTCATGCTTTCGGGGTTCTTTTAGCCTACGACACCTCGGCGAGTTGGTTCCTTACAGCCTTGTCATTGACAATATTGGTGTTGAGATTTAAGTGGGATGAGATATCTCTTAGTAAGATTGATATTGAGTTTCATTAGTCTTGATTCAAATAGTGTTGATACTTGGCATTTGTGCATTTGCTAGTTAGCAACGTAATTGAGGTTCAAATAAGTTGAGTGGTTAGTTGAGTTAGTTGTGTTCTAGACAAGATTATTTTGTAGGGGTTGAGATTTGGCTTTTCTTTGCAAAGTGATTTAGTCATGGACTATGCTAGCTTTATAAGAAAAAGAGTTAGTGATCAATATTAGAATGTTTGAATCTTTATTGGATTTGAGTTAAAATATATAGATCATTAATTATTCTTTTTGTGCTTGTTATGAAGTGAGTTACATCTTGCTATAGAAGATGAATTCAAGAAGGATCGATTTAGTGATCACTTGTTAAACATAGCTTTGTTATGCTTGGCTTTTGATTTAATGCAAATATACTCTTCATTAGCTTTGTATTATAAAGTTTGGCTTATGGATGTATTAAGAAGGATATTATGGGTTGTGCCATGATTTTTTCTTTAGCATTGAAGTTAGTTCATGCAACATTTATGATCATTGTTAAGAAAAACCTAGCTATATGCTTCTTTAAGTTTTTGGTTCCTTGGGTTTTCATGCTTATAGTCCATTTGGTTGAAGTTGTTGAGGAAGGCGTTCTAGCTCATAGCTTCTACATTGAAGTTAGTATTTGTATCTGGCAATCATTGGTAATGATTGACTATCATTTAGGATAGTTAATTATCCTTGTCAAAATTTTTGCATGATTGTTGTTGATATAAAATGATTCGCTATTATTTAACGATGCTTATGCATCTCTCTTTTTGATGGGATGATTGATAATCTTTCATAAAGGTTAGTTGTGCTATTTGATAGCTTATGGCTTTCCGTAATACTACATGTTCTTATGGTTTACTTTGGATTGGTCTCTTGGATTTGAGATATCAATAGGATGCTGTTGACACTTGTTTGAGCAACTCTGGTTCCTTCGTATTATTGACTGGAATCTTTTTAGATTGGCCAGTGCGATAGTTTGCATAAATGAGTGTTTGTTTACCAACATTTATTCTATTCTGTTGACTATCATTACAGTTGCTTCTAATAGGTTGGATGTTATTTCCTTCGAGTAATAAATTCGCAAGCATTTTATTTGCCAGTTGATGATACTTTATGTTCTTTGAGTTGTTTTTCATAAGTTGTTTGTCATGCTATCTACAATCTTTGTTAGTTAAATTTTATCATTAAGTTTTCTTGATGATACATTGGTTATTGAATTTTATTAGATAATAAATTTTATATTTTCCAACTATAGTGATCTTGGTGGTTACTATATGCTAATATTAATTTATCAGATGATAACTTACTTGGAATACTTTTGTGTTCTTTATTCACTGATAATTAAGTCTCTAAGATATCATTATCTATGACTTTGATATTGTCCATCTATTGATCTTTGAGTATTGATCTTTGAGACAAGTATCTTTCAATACCTAAAGTCATATTAGTGACACTCTCCCCCCCTTGGGGAAGATCGACGTCCTTATCGATGTATACCTGAGTCTAGCAAATTGTCAAGGAAACAACTTTGAAAGTTAATGGAAAGCACACTATGTGGGAAACACACCGACTTAAATGAGTTATGGAATGACTTTTCCTCTACATCCAAAGATGTTAAGACTCAAACACCCTCTAGCCGTCACCGACAAGGAAATGACTAACGGAGTTAACCACCCTTGCTGCTCTAATTACCACTTGGTTTATAAAGGAATGATACATCCCTGCCCATAGGAACATAAGGAGAAGGCCAGAGGCCCAACTTCCCCTAAGCAAAAAATCAACCTTGTCAGGAAGATTTAGCAACTATTATAAACTGGCAGATTAAATTGTTTACACGACCACACCCCTTTTCAAAATGAGTCATTGAGAGAGAGGTGGGTGTAAGCAACTAAATTTTCCATTCTACTTTAGTCACTTAACCACACCTCCGACCATTTGGAGGAGTCTCACTCACAACTTTCGTAAGTGCTATTTTAGACTTAGGGACTTGCTAGCCCTAAGAATAGCATCCATGCCACTCAACCATTGCACTTGGTCCAAGTGCTTCACGTGTTCGATCCCATGACGGACACCGCAAGGTACCACCGACCTATCAGCCCGTTACGCTAAGACCATGCCCATTCACCTTCGTCACACCGGTGGTTTGACACCACCTACATCACAATCTTGTCTCTCAAAGACTAGACCATTCATCCATGAGTGATCATCCCAAATCCACTTCTTAGCATCCTTAGGATGCCCGCAGCCCCCCCCCCCAC